GTTCATCCAGCCCTGCACCTTGTTGTCCAGGATTGCTATAGACGTGTATGAGATATGCTTCGACCTCTGGCGTCAAGTTATGCAAACAGGGGCTAGCAATTTTCAAATCAGTGGCCAGATAGTCGTTTCAGCAGATTAATTGGAGTTGCATGTTGGAACCTTGTGGAATCACCGACCTGGCAGACTCTGGGAATTGCCCAGGAAATTGAAGATTCTGATGGGCAGTTCCTTGGCAACTGAAAACCTCTGAAGTCTCCATTTAAATCCGGGAATGTGGAGCGAATGGTTGCCCAGGAAATGTTACATAAATATCTTGTCTGGCTCCTGGCAACTATTAAACTGAAACCCTCCATCCCCAATTTACCATGCAGCCCAACTACATCTCCCCAGACCCCTTGTACTCTCATGACCACCTCCATCTAGAGATAGTCGGAAGTGCAGATGCTGGAGAATCTGAGATAACAAGGTGTAGAGCTGGATGAACATAGCAGGCCGAGCAGGAAGGCTGACGTTTCAGGCCGAGACCCTTCTTCAGAAATGGGGGAGGAGAAGGGGGTTCTGAAATAATTAGGAAGAGAGGGGGAGGCGGATAGAAGATGGATAGAGGAGAAGATAGGTGGAGAGGAGACAGACAGGTCAAAGAGGCGGGGATGGAGCCAGTAAAGGTGAGTGTAGGTGGGGAGGTAGGGAGGAGATAGGTCAGTCCAGGGAGGACGGACAGGTCAAGGGGGCGGGATGAGGTTAGTAGGTAGGAGATGGGGGTGGGGCTTGAGGTGGGAGGAAGGACAGGTTAGGGAGGCGGGGACGAGCTGGGCTGGTTTTGGGATGCGGTAGGGGGAGGGGAGATTTTGAAGCTTGTGAAGTCCACATTGATACCATTGGGCTGCAGGGTTCCCAAGCGGAATATGAGTTGCTGTTCCTGCAACCTTCGGGTAGCATCGTTGTGGCACTGCAGGAGGCCCAGGATGGACATGTTGTCTGAGGAATGGGAGGGGGAGTTGAAATGGTTTGCGACTGGGAGGTGCAGTTTAGTGCGAACCGAGGGTAGGTGGTCTGCAAAGCGGTCCCCAAGCCTCCACTTGGTTTCCCCGATGTAGAGGAGGCCACAACGGGAACAGCGGATGCAGTATACCACATTAGCAGGTGAACGTCTGCTTGATGTGGAAAGTCATCTTGGGGCCTGGGATAGGGGTGACGGGGTGGTGTAGGGGCAGGTGTAGCACTTCCTGCGGTTACAGGGAAAAGTGCCGGGTGTGGTGGGGCTGGAGGGGAGTGTGGAGCGGACAAGGGAGTCATGGAGAGAGTGGTCCCTCCGGAAAGCAGATAAGGGTGGGGAGGGAAAAATGTCTTTGGTGGTGGGGTCGGATTGCAGATGGCGGAAGTGTCGGAGGATGATGTGGAGGTTGGTGGGGTGGTACGTGAGGACAAGGGGGATTCTGTTTTGGTTGTTATTGCGGGGACGGGCTGTGAGGGATGAGTTGCGGGAAATGCAGGAGACACGGTCGAGGGCATTCTCGACCACTGAGGGGGGAAGTTGCGGTCCTTGAAAAACGAGGACATCTGAGATATACGGGAGTGGAATGCCTCATCCTGGGAGCAGATGCGGCAGAGGCGAAGGAATTGGGCAGATGCAGAGAAGGCGAAGGAATTGAGCAAATGCGGCGGAGGCGAAGGAATTGAACCCCTCTGAGCCCTGAAACTCTCCCGTTACCCACAGGGCCAACAGCCCATCCTCTCATGCGGGACCCTAAACAAAATCCAACCCTTTGCGACCCAATATCCCAACATCCGACAACCATCCCGACAACCGTTTTTTTCCCCCTGGGTCCCAACTTCCTCCTATCGCCGTACCCCCTTAGCCAGACCACCATGACTGTCCCACCCTGCTGGGACACATACCTCCTGCCTTTCCCAACCTACCCTAAACAGGAAATCATCTGACATTCTTCCCATTGTGTGCCCTCATACCTGACTGATGTGGCAGCTTATCAACTGCATCCTAATAACTTGTCACCCTACCTATTGGCATCCTACCCACCTGCACCCTACTAATCTGGCACCCTACCCAGCTTGCACACTTCCCAACTTGCATCCTAACTTCACACTTAGCTTTCATTCAGAGTATTTCACAGGGGCTGTCAAAGTGACTGTGTTGCTGAACATTTAAATCACAGATATGACATCTACTGTTGTGAAAACAGGAATGTGTTTTGTCATCCCCTGAGAAATATGCACTCCAACAATGCAGATGCAGTTATGGTATGCTCAGCATTTCAAGAGAATCTGTGACCAGGATCTCCCGCCATAAAATGTGGAGCTCTTCCACACTGCAAAAAAAAAGGTAGGAGGAAAATCTGGCCTATGGTGTCATAACTGAATCACTGGGTTTTTGAGATGTCTTTGATAGTCTTTAGATTGAGACATGTCAATTTTAGGGCATCCATCCAATGTACAAAACATGAAAAGAATGCTTGAAACATGCAGTATGAGGATAAGTTGAATTTTATTGCAAATTCTGTAATATTCTTATTGAAATGCTTTGTCTTTTACTTTTACAAACTTAATGAATAATGTATTTTTCTGGGAGAAAAA